ATCCACAACCGGAGCCTTCGGCTAGCCAAAGCCTGACCCGCAAGGCAGCAAGGCGGTGTGTGAAAACCGCAATCCATTAGGAGCCGGTGTCCAGTTCATCGGATCATACACCATTTGGACGGGGTCCAACGTCCAAGGTGCTCAATGCACCTTGATGCACAATCGAGCCGATGACCACTACCACAACCGGGAAGGTGTGTGATTCGTACGCTTCCTCTTGGTTGGTTTGGAATCAGGGTTTTTGGCCAACTCCCCTAGGTGAACTACCAGTGGTCCACCAACTCGGTTATAGCCCCGGATATCGGCTTTTCGCCCTTTCACTTTCGTGCAAAATTACCTCCACCACGAGAGGGAAGTGAGTAGGGCTTCCTCAGAAGAGGCTATTTGAGATGCTTGATCGTATGGGAGCATTTCGCGAGGTACAAGGGGAGGGTGACCAGCCACAATCCTAGAGAACCACTCCCCGATCATAGATAGATAGATAGATGTGAGGTAAAACTGTAACTCGGAGAAAGGTTTCAGTTAACTTTCGATAGTGATTAAAGAATGAGAAATAAAGCTCCTGGTCTAATGATCATCTTGACAACTCGAGTAAAACATTCCACCCAAGATAAACTAACCTTGAATGGTTCGCCGTAAATGCTTTCACCACCTTCCCCAGTACCTGTTGGATCACCTCCTTGGACGATAAAACCACGAACAAGCCGATGGAAAGCGGTATCATCATAGTATCCTTCCATGCAAAGTTGTACGAAATTTCGACATGCTTTTGGTGTCTCTTTGGACCATAATTCAATTTCAATTTCTCCAACGGTAGTCTTGAGAATCACTTTGCCATTAGTTGCGGGTTCACTAACATAAATGTTGCTCATTCCTGAGTGATGAAGATTTGGTTCTAAAAAGGATTTTGGGCAAACATGCAGACAAAACACGGTGAAATAGTGTGACCAAAAAAGCTAACGACACTTTATCTTTGTCAGTTATCAATAGTTGACTTGGTGTGGAATGACAGATAAGTATGGATATTCTGCCAAACTCAGAGTCTCTAACCAATCATCATCATCGTACAGCGTAATACAATGAAGCAAACTGAACTGATCGTTGCCAAACTCGCAATGCATACCAGATTAGTGGTAAGGTGGACAGGGATTGGACTTATTTTGAGCGAGAAGGAAGGTGAACCTCCATGGTCAACACAGTGCACAATCTAACTGTGCATGTACAGCGTCTGGAAACCTTAAAGCGAACGACTGTGAACTGAGGCGACACTCTTCAATTTAGGAGGAGACCAATATAATGGAGGTACCATAAATGTCGCAGGTTGGCAAAAGCTACTCTAGCTTTTACTATTTATGATGTGATCTCCCAAACACTAACTTTAGCTGCGATCAAGCTCTCAACCACTTCCAGCTGATCACCACAGAGTGAGTGCAGGCATAGGCCCCTGCTACGCTCCATCACTACGAGACTGCACCTTGACGTGGTGTGATGGCTTGCGTGCCTCCTTGACCCAGCGAGCTGTACAGGATGGCTCCTCACAGCCGCAGATCCAGTCATGCTTAAAGGGTCGATGGGTAGGGGCCAGAAGAAGATCAGCTTCACAAGGCCAGCCGATGGGGCACCTCCTAGCTTCCTTTGATCATCAACTCCAGCCCCTTGAGAAATCACTCCAGCAAAAAAGCGCTAGGGGGCAGTTTACCGGTCGAAAGAAAAAACCGCTAGATGGACGTAGGAGTGGGGTACCTGGGGCCTCCGCCATTAAGAAGACAGGATAAAGATAGACTGTCGGTGTTTGAGCACCACTGTCTACGCAGCATTGCACGAGTTCGGTCAGACAGCCGGACGGGTAATGCAGAGTCTTGAGTAACTGTGGTCGCCCACTGGAGCAAATGGTTGATCTCCATAGATTACGTTGGTTGGGACGTGTTACGCATGCCACTAGATAGGTTGCCACGGCGAGCGATTTTCACCGAGGCAGTTAATGGATGCAATAACGCGAAAGGCTGTCAAGCTAAGAACTGGCAAGGGAGTGTGAAAACCCTAACCAGGAGACTCGGTCACGTAGGTCCCATCAGGCTCCCTCGATGGGGACTTCGGGATGACTGTAACCGATGGTATAAGACACTGAATGTTGTAATCAGTGGCGTTTTTGTATCTTCTCTATTTCTTTGCAACATTAGTCGACTGAAGTTCTTCATTTTCTACTCGACTCCACTTTCAAGTTTCTTGTCTTTCTCCTACTGTTCATCCAAATAGGAAGCCAAAAGACAGCAAACAAAACTGGCGCAGGAAAGTGCATGGTTAATGGTTGAACAAACTGAAGCTGATGGCTACTTCTCCCAATATTACGGAACTACTCCTGTCAGATCTGTAGGATGAAAGCTTCTATTGAATTATGCCAGGATTAGGACCACTCCAACAAGCCAGGTTTCTGCTAATAGCTACTAGGGTAGTCCTACAGTTTTCCGCTATCATTAGAACCTCGGTCCAATTGTATCTGACTAAGCAAATATATGTACAGAACAGTGTAAGTTCGTACCCTTGTTTCTGTGTTCCTAGTTTCTCGTCAAGCGAAGCACCCAAGGAGAGCCGTCGTTCTTTCAAGCATCAACTTTATCTTCCCAATTCGGAGTTGCACACCTAATTCTATAGTCCTGCCTAAGACTCTGAAGCTCCCTTTATGGGCGAGATAACTGCGCGGGTGGTGTCCCAATGCAGGATCTCAGTATCGGTCATTACTGAAGATTGAATGCAGCTCAGCCATTTTTCTTCCCATAACGTAACCTCTACAATGACTACTCCTTTATTTACCACAGGATCACAGCTCCAATCCCCCACTTCTCATCAGCAGTGCGAGACCATACGACCAACAGAGGATCCAACGCGAGACCTCACAGGTAAAAGGTAAGCAGACAATCTTCTGGACCACCGGACAACTGGTCAAACCGCTTTTCATTTCACTTTTACAGTATACAGCAAAGACCCACTTTAAAAGCTCACTGCAGGCATCACACTCCGTGCATCCTACGGTTATGACTCGGTTGGAACCATTTCGACCTAGACTATTTGTTACAGGACCGTAGCGGAGAATGCGCTATGATTGTATGGTGAATTTTGTCATAAACAGATGACTCTATGGTAATAATTTGTGGATACTTCAAATCTTACAAAACTCGATAAGAACGCAAATTCTAATCCGTTTTGCAGCAAAAAGAAAAATTTTTACGTTACGCCAGGTCCTTGAGCTGCGTGACACCCACCACCGACCAACGATTGAAGTGCTCCTTGACATGAAAGGACCCTTTGAATCCGCTGACGCGAAGCACTGATGGGCTCCCTTCTTCGAAAAGGAATCCACAGAATTATGTGAACTTACTGAGATCACTGTACTCACATACCTCTGGTCGTGTGAGGGTCTATGATGAACTAAGTAGGCTATTCGTCAGCAGCGTCGGTCAAGGATGCCTCTCTCGACGTTCCTGTCAATTTCGTCGTACGCACTAAGTGGTCTCCAAAACGTCGATATTGAATGGGCAGATGGAAAAAGCTGTGCGATTTAGAATACCCCGATGACGTCGTCTGTCTGTTCGAATGTAAAGAGGACACGCGAAGCACACTTCATGGACTAACAAGTGCAGTTGCTACATTCGGTATGCGCTTCGCACCTTCAAAGTGCAAAGTGATGCTGCAGGACGAGGTTTCGGCTACTCCCGCTCTGAAATTAGTTACGGTGGATCACTTTTCCAAATAAGGTAGTTGTGTGACAAATGACGGTAGCGCAGCAAAGGAGATATGCTCCCGCATTTACAAGGCTCGAGCAGCATATGCAGGACTAAAACACCTTTGGCGTAAACGCGACGTTTCACTGAAGCTGAAAGGTTGTGTTTATTGCGCTAGAGTTCGTTCAGTTCTGCTTTATGGTTGTGAGACCTTGAATGTGCTAGTAGTAAGGTTTTCCATTATCGGTGTTTACGCAGTTTAGCTCACGTGGGATGGAGCGAACGGGTTAGTAACGTGGAGGTAAACTGCCAGGTGTTTGGGAGCCTATCAGGAATAAACCTGCTAGCACACCGAATTCAGATTAGTAGACTTCGCTGGCTAGGGCACGTATTGCGTATGTCCAGCCATCGTCTGCCGCACCGCGCTTTATTCGCTGTAGCCAATCCGGACTAGAGGAAACCGCGTGGAGATCAACAGATGAGTTGGAGACGAGGCATGAAGAATTGCACAGGGCCGTTAAGTAGATTAGGTGTCTCTTGTATTCCAGTTTAGGGTCCGAAAGACTCCACAACCGGTTGGTTAGAAACAATGAAGCAGTAACAGCAGTGACGTTCTTGTTGTCATTCCTTATCAGGTCAGAACGCTTGAAACAGTATGTATGCAGAGTTTGATTACACACTCTGTGTTCACCATAATGGTTCACCTTAGTCTCCCTCTCTCAAAGTAGGTCCGATTCCTCTCCACCTTAAATGCACTGCGAGTTCGACAGTGATCAGTGAAGTTCGATTTACTGTATTTCGCTGTACGATGATGATGATGATGTTGTACCCATATGAAAATTTACGAGCACCGAATTCGCTGGATTCCGACTACCTGCCCAGGTTCTTGTTTACACTCCCAGTACATATTTCATTTTGAGGGTGTTTTGTGGGTTTATTCCTGATAGCCGGAGCACATCCACAAACCCCCAACAGTTCATTTCTCTTGCGTGAACGCCTCAGCGATCACACGCACTTCAGATTTTTGTTCTGAATATGAATAAGATAATCCTTTTTAGCTCAAAGTGAGCACCTTTGATGGCACAACCTTTTGCACTTGAGGAACTGAATGCTCTGCTGGATATAGGTTGCAACTGGTGCCTCTAAACTGATTTTCTGTGAGGAAATCATTAAAAACAGTGGGGTAATTAGGAATAAATCACCGCGGTAAACCGGATAGAACAGGTAAGCAAGCGTGAAACGGTCTGGGAACACGCTATGCGGAGTTTAAACGACTCAAATACAACCTTTGTGAACCGTTAAAAAGTTCAACATTTAGAACAGTAAGCACTAAAATGTACCGCAAGGTTTAATTAATTAAACTTGTAATTAATTAATTGTAAATAAACTTGGGACTATATTGCAACTTTGTACAGGAACACTGAAGTCTAACAATTCACTCGGCCATTCGGTGAGATTGAATCCCATTTCTCATTGTTTGTCTCAGAAGAGTTGAGTGCCCATGGAGTTCTTCCTCTTCTTCCAGAGACAGCGGGTGCTGTCCCGCATGAATATCCTCACCGCAGCTCGGTGACATGACTTAGATGTGCGTGTCCTGCCACCACCACAAGAAGTCATCTAGCCGACGCTTGAGAACTCGGTCCTTTATCTCCTCCGCAACATCTTCTGATAACATATTTCACAAGTTTGCACCTCGTCGGGATAGGCGGTAAACCAGTGGAAGCTCGATCGTGTGCTGTTTCACTAGGGTTAGTTCGTGTCCCCTAGTACGATTGTACTATCGAAGCGGAAACATCCCCTGCAGTTTGCAACCCAGATCCCAGCGAATAATGCGTCTATTCCCGTACGCTAACGGGGACAGTTTTGTTGCCTACAAGCGTCCGTAGTTAATCCCATGCAGCCCGGCAAGGAGGCGTGTGGCGCTGCGATGTTCCAGTTTCTGTGCCTCTGCCTTTGGGCATGGAAACGATACAGGGTCACCGCATTTCAGTCTCAGGCGTATGTGGGAAGCATACAAAACTTTGATGGCATTCAAGGAAAGATCGACGTATGGCTCCCAGTATTCGCCAGGTCGACGCACATACTCTAACAATTTGGCTCCTCTTCTTTAAGATGGAAGCCACGATTGCCCCAAAATCCTTTTCACATGTGGA